GGTTGTTGTTCTGGCATTTATTAGAGTTTTTATGAGAAATAAATCAAATCTGTTTTGTGAAAAGAAGCAGAGTAAATCTACCTGCTTTATTTCTAACTTTGCTGTATTGTTTTCAGTGATTTCTGTTTTTTCTGAGACTAATTGAAGAATGTGATTAACTCTGCAGTCTGGTTTTAGTTTAGCTCCTGGCAGCAAACATCATTTAGTTATTTCTCTGTTTCCAGGGTTACGCGGCCATCCACACCATACAGAGATGGTCTGAACTGAACTGGGCCGGCCACTGGGTCATTTTCGCTTCTTGGATTTTCTACCGTTTGATTCAGTGAACTAATGCTGCGACGATAAAACTGTTTTTCTAATAAAATGTTTCCACTGAGACTCCTGGAAGATATTTCCTAATCTGTGAGCGTGTGATTGAAGCAGTAAACATCTAATGAACAGAAAGAATCACTAAAAACTGGTTTTATGCTGAAGTTTTGAAGTTCAGTTTAACTTTATCTGCTTTTTTCAGACCACCAAACTGGAATTTGACCCCATCAATAGCATTTGATGAGCTAAAATAGCTTCCTGTGAGGTTTAAACTGGTTGCTAACATCTCCAAATATTCCTGCTTCTTTACTGAAAGGGACTTTTTTATCATTAGAATACTTTCATAGACTGAAATCATCCATATATAACATCTGCTAACCCGCCTCCTTCGTTTTTCTGCAGCCCTCTGCTTGTATAATCAGAAAACCTGTCAGACTGGAGTTACTGGGGTTGGTTTACTGGTGCAAACCAGTTAACCCATTATATGGCTGGACTTGGCTGTTCTTCTGAATAACCTTTTATAATTGATGGGAGATATAGCTTGAATTTCCTCCTTGCTTCCAACAAGTAGTTAAATTAGCCGATTATTTTAGCTTTTTGATGTAACTGACTCCATCTGGGAAACGCTTTGCAACAAATGTACATCTGCTGCTCCTCCTTGATCTCCCTCCAGATCTTCTACAAGGAGTCAGCTCTGCCTGAAGTGGAGCAAATATCTGAGGTTCTAGTTTATTGCTGATAAAGTGCAGAGATGAGGACAGTATTTTAGTCACATGTCTCTTTAAATCGTGTTACTTTAACCCAGTTAATTTATCTTTTAATAGTTTTATAGAAGTGAGTGTGTGCATGAATGGTTGTTTGTCCTGCTTGTGTTGCCATGCGATGGACCGTCCACCTGTCCAGGGTGGACCCCGCCTCTCGCCCCTTGACAGCTAGTGATGGGGACCAGCAGCCCTTGCGACCCTGCTTGGATAAGCGTGTTAGAAAATGGATGGATAGTTTTATAGAAAGCAGCTTATTTCAGGCTGAATTCAGAGGAAAAGGATGCAGTGATTAAAGCATCCTGTGATGGTGTGGGAGAGGAAGGATGCTCTTTACCAGATCTGCTCATGGTCCAATCACTTCACAGATAAATCCAGCTGATTTCCTCCATTCATTGACTTTCTAGGATCTTCTCCTTGGTGAGTTTGTAAAGGCAGGAAATACTCGCTTGCATTTTGTCTAATTGTATCTCCTTAGACAGTTGCCAAAGATGAAACCAAATCTTGTGAAACAGGAATTCTTTCCTTTATTGCAGCTCAGCTAAACTACTGCCTGACGTTGGACTCGGCCAGTCGACTCTAGTTGGCCCAGAATGCTGCTGCTCGTCTTTCAGCAGGAGTGGTAAAGCAGAGAGGACATTGCTCCTCTCCTGGCTTCCCTCCTCTGGCTCCCAGTTCTGTTGATTTTAAGGTTCCTTTATTTGTTTTAATACTTTAGATGTTGATGTCCCATATTAGCTGGCTGAGCTCCTTCCCTCTCCTGATCGTTGCCTCGGGACGGTTGATCGCCTGATCCTAGAACAGAGCTTTTAATGTTGCTGCTCCCAAGTTTTCAAATGTTTTTTTTGTGTGATATTTATAGTTTGGTCTGATTTATATTCTTTCGATTCATTCTTTCACATTTTATGATGTCCTTTATTTCATTAACAATCTGGCCTCCCGTCTCTCTGATGTCATCAATCTCCTAAATGTAGCTGATATAAATAAGCAAACTGCTGGGATTCACTAAGAATGCTAAAAAGCGTTGCTGTTGCCTGGCTTTGGCTTTTTCTTTAATGTCATTCTACTGTCAGAACCACAGAGCAGCGAAATTCACTCTCTGCTTTTAACCCCTCCCTTTGGGGAGCAGTGGGCTGCCATGGTGCGGCACCCCGGGAGCAGTGTGGGGTTAAGGATTTTGCTCAGGGACTTGAGGGAGTAGGACTCGAACTCAGAACCTCTGGAAAATGTCTCCCTCCATTAATTCTGTTGTGAAGCAATTATACTACAGAATTGTACAAAGATGATTAGGCATAAAATATTTTTTTTTTGGTTATAAAATTTGGCTCTTGTTTATTTTTAATTTAAAAAAGCTTCTTACAGGGAAAAAACAAAGTTCTTTTTTCTTATTTCTTATTAGTGTTATTAGTCTTAAGGTAACAACCAAACACTTTTCGAACAAATATTATCAAATATAATGTAGAAGAAAAATACAGCAGGCTTTTTGATTCCTTTTTTTTTTTTTTTACTAATTATATAACCATAGAAATGGGTGAAAAATAACTTTTCATCTCGAAATCCAGAAGCTGTCAATATTTAACCACTAGAAGGAATAGCATAAAAAAATATCAATAAAAATCAGTCTACTGGTCTGCTCTGACTTAAATCAATCTTTGCATGTAATTGGCTGGAAAAGGTGTTTGGTCTGTGATGCATTTATAAAATGATGGAGGGATTATGTCTTATGAAGACTTCAGTATTAAATATAACCTGCAAATAACTAAAAGTGATTTTCAAAGAATTATTAGAGCTATTTGCCCAAATATTTTATGCACGGCTAAATGTTTTTATGAGAACTCTGTTAGCAGAAGCCCTGTGACTTCCTGGACTTCAGATTATTGGGCACAGTATCACTGATAATAAATTTGTATCAAATCCAAATTTTATATAGCATTTCTTCTCAAAGACTGAAAGGAAAAGAATTAGAACAAATTATTTAAATCTTTGTTTCTCCAAAACCCGAGGAAGTCCACTTTAAAATCTCCTTAGATGTTTTTACCTCTAAGGAATTTCTTGGAATTTGATTTGCTATTAATGAAAACATTCAATTAGTGACGGTGATTCTGAGTCAACTAAACAGCTTTTCTATAAATATTGTAAAGCTTTGTGGGATGATGTGCACTATGGGTTTTTCCCTAAACTTTCATGAATTGTCTAAGAAAAACATCATTTTTGGGACTCTGAGAAAATAAATTTAAATGACTATTAAATGCAATAATCATCATGGGCAAGTTTTCCAAAAGTCAAACCATCTTTTAGCTCTTTTTTTTCCACCTCTTCTTATCCCTAAAATGTGTTTAATATGATAAACAATGTGGAACTGATGAGAGGTCCCTAATGTTTGGTTTGTTCTGTTTGTCCTTCCTGTAAATCTGGTTTTACAGGTTTATATAATCTGATGCCGATGCCGTGTCTGCTCTATATGATGGTTATAATAAAAAAGATTAATAAAACAAAAGTCTGACTTCCGCTGCTGCGCAATGGAGCTGCAGCAAAGTGACCAATAAGCGGCCGCTCTTTGCTTCGTTTAGCTCGAACCAGCCAATAGCAGCGCGTCTCTTCCGCCTTCCTGCTGAAGGGCCAATGAGGCGGCAGGGAGGCAGGAATCGTCCAATCAGGAGCAGGTAAGAGCTGCGGCGGGGGGCTGAGCTTCAGCCAGCGGAGCTCTACAGTATTTTGGCGGTTATGCGGAAAATATGGCGGAAAGTTTGAAAGGTAATGAAATAAAGAAAGTCTTTTAATTTTAATGTGGATGGTTTAGTTCGCTCAGACCGTGAAATGTTTGTTTTTATGCTGCTCTCCATGTTGAATGGCTGCTGAGCGTAGCCTTCCTGTTTGCTCCTAAAGCATAAAACTATCGCCACGTTTCATTACGATCCGGTTTAAATGTGAGATTTATGGGGATTATTGCTGCTGGTGGAGATCATGAGTCAGGAAGATTATTGATGGAGGAAGGTCTGAGATTAACACGCGCGAAGCAGCTTAATTCAATAATCATTCATTTGTTATCATTAAACCTTTGGTTTAATATTCCATAATCATTAAACTGATCATTAAACCTTCATATATTTTATAAGCTTCCTCCATCTTCCTCTAAATCTCTCCTTCAAACATCCAGCAGATCTTTATTGATCCTAGAAATATTCTTTTATCTAGTAAAAATGTGCCTGCAGCGATTAAACATTTTATCTAAACTTAAAAGGTCATTTTAGTAAACATTTAAACTTTGTGAATTGAAAAGATTGCTTACCTAAAGTGTAACTTGCAAACATGTAAAAAACATTTATATAGAAAAAATGTCTTTTAATTATTATTTTTTTTTGAGTCTTTTGTCTAAATTAATTCTCTAAGTAGTTGATTGGCCTGTTTTACTAATGACGTGGGTTGGGACTGGATTTGATTACCAATCAGCTGGCAGTTAATTCAGTACCTAATAAATAATGTTTAATTGTAATTCTAATATATCTCTATATGTCGACATTTGAATCCATGTTTGTGATTTGCAGAGTGCTGTGTTCCCTGTAAGGTGGCCTGGGATGAGCTGGAGGCTCTTTGCCGCGGCGAGAGGCTCTACTGCACAGAGCTGAACATCAACAGAGCAAATGTCAATGAATATGAAGTGGAGTTTCTCTGCGACTATAAGAAGATCAAGGTACCCATTTTTTTCTCCAAAGGGAAACATTCAGATCATATCTCTCCTATCCCGGCTTCTCTTCATCGGCTTCCTGTTAAATCCAGAATAGAATTTAAAATCCTCCTTCTCACATATTAAGCCTTGAATGGCCAAGCTCCATCTGATGCAATGGGGGAAATAAGTATTTGACCCTTTTCTGATTTTGCAGGTTTGCCCACTTACAAATAATGCAACGATCTATAACTTTAATAATATGTACATTCTAACAGTGAGAGACAGAATCCCAAAGAAAATTCCAGAAAATCACGTCATATGAATTTATAAAAACTGATAACCATCTGATGAGGAAAAGTATTTGACCCCCTGGACAAACAGCATGTTAATATTTTGTAGAAAAGCCATTATTGGCCAGCACAGATGTCAAACG